AAAGTTTAAGTAACTTGTTAGAGAGTAGAATGAAGTTTGGAAGATATGAATTTCCTGGATGTGTACAAGGGTCTGTTGGTCCAAGTGAAACATTTTTCAAAACAAAACAAAATAACTGGCAGATTGTAGTTGGAAAAAATCTAATATAGCCTCTAATATTACAATTCCTGGTATACAAACCTAGTATAATCATATCATTAAATATGGGTGGGATATCACTCAGGATATGGAGTATCACTTTCCTGATTAACATGGAACAAGATATGAAATAATGGTCCTAATCAGTTGACTCTGAGTTAATCAAAACGGAGATTATATTAAGTGTGCCCAATCCAATCATGTGAGTCCTTAAAAGGGACAAACAACAGCAGAAACTTTCCCGTTGGCCTTTAAAAACAAGTCACCAAGAGTCCTACAACTGCAAAGAACGAAATTCTGCCAGCAACCACCTGAATGAGCTTGAAAGATGATCCAGAGCTCCAGAGCGAAACTTAGTCCTGGCTACCACCTTGGTTTCAGCTTTTGTAAGACCCTGAGCAGAGAACTGCTCTGCCTGGATTTCTAACCTACAGAACTGTGAGATACTGTGTTGTCATAAGCTACTAAATTGGTGGCAAATTTGTTACACTGCAATAAAATTAATACACAAGTCAGTGACTGACTAAAGGCTATTAGAGGAAATGAAGTCATTGATATGACATTATATACAGCAGCAGTTCTCCAAATGTGGTCCCAGAGCCCCTTGGAGGTCCTTGAGACATTTTCAGGAACCTAGGAGGTTAAAACTATTTTCATAGAAATATGAACAATTTGCCACTCCCCTGTTATTTTCATAATTGCATAGTGGTTTTCCAGATGTTACATGATATATGATGATATTATTGCTCTGACTGCTAACGAAATATGTCCCTTTGAATTTTAGGGTTTAAAAAAATTCTTTTAGTATGGTACATATTGACAAATACAGTCTACGAACAAAAACTTGTTGAGATTTTCAGTAATTTCTAAATGTAATAAGGTCCTTAGATAAAAAACTTTGAGATCACTAGTCTAGACGAAATATAACCAAAGAAGTCCTGGAGAAAATCTGAAGCTATAGGATTTATATATTTAGTTAATGCTTATAGGGTATTTTGTCTTTAACTACGGTTATTAGCAAGTGTGGGACAAACGAGCTAGTCTTTGAGGTAAGACAACTACAAATAATTAGCGAAATCATCTGTCTCTTTCTTCCTCAGCTGTTTTTAAGGACATGGCCCTGCAGCATGAAGGTATATACTCTGTGATAACCTGTGGAATGGGTAGGAATGTCACAGAAGAAGTTGTTTAAACTAGACTTTGGGAAACAAAGAAGACTTTGTGGGGGAAGTGAAATCTAAGTTGGAAAGTGAAGTAGATGAACGACAAATCTTTAAGCCATTATCCTTTAGGTCTCAGCTAAAATGTTCCCCTTTTAAAGGCCTTTTCTGAGATCCTGGTCCAGTGTAGCAGCACACCTTACACTCTATCACAGTACCCTACAAGACCCTTTTTAGTACTTTTTAAAAAACTTAATATAGCTCTTAAGGTAAGTCTGGCTAGAACTAGAGTACCTTGGTTCAAATCCTAGTTCTACTGTTTTCTAATTATATAATTTTTAATAAGTTACTTACTCTCTCCATGCCTGAGTTCCTTAACAAGATTGTTAATTAAACAAGGAATTTATGTTTAGTTGGCTAAGTTGTGACCATGGGACAGAAAAGGAAACTAGGAACTAGGTCAATGTCAAGGGCAGAATTAGCAGGTGAATTCAGACATGAGAGAGGAAAAGTAAAGGTAATATTAAAGATAGAAGAGGAAGAAGAAGCAAAGGAAAGTTCTAGGGAGATATATACTTTTATTTAAATATATATTAAGCTACCTATCTATTTAAGACAGAGACAGTCAAAAAATGTATACACACTTCTGCAGTTCACCATACTAATAAATGTCTGGAAGCTAATAGCCACGACTTTGAGCACCTCTTGCAACCGTAGAGGTCAAAGGTAACTTGTATTAATCTCATGGTGTCTCAATAAATTTAATATTAAAATATTTTTACAAGTTTTTCTTTTCTTGATATATACATTTTTTTTGTGGACTCTGTATATATGCAACTAGTTAAATGTGGTAAAGGAAAAAGAAAAAACAAAATGATTCCAAATTTGTTGCTTGCACGGCTGGTATAGTGGTTAGCATAGCTGCCTTCCAAATTTGTTGCTTGCAGGATATGACAGGTTAGCAGGCCAGCAATAGTTAACTAATTCAGAAGAAAAAGGTGGCGCTATGTCAAATTCATATCTAAAATGAGTTGGCAAAAAGAATATGATTATAGATAATCTGTATTTAGAGTGCTAGAGTGATGGCCCTTAACAGAAGAAAGTTCAGAGAAATCTGGATGTATGCTCATTGCGTCAGAGCTGAAATCATGGGGAGAAATCTCACATATTGGAACACTGATCTGATGGAAGATAATTTTTTTAAACACTTGAAACAATGTTCTTATTAGTAATAAAAGGTCTCAAAAACCTTTTAGGGGATAGGGCTTTTCAGAAAACTTAAAGCACTGATTTGACTTAAGGAACTGCAGGGTAAGGGTGCATGTTTCCCATACCATAAAACTTTGGAAAGTAAAATAACAATATTTTTATGTTGCTTTTATAAAGTTGAGCTTGTCTTCCCTTTCCTTTACAGCAAGAACCTCTTGCTACTCACTTTAAAAATGTACAACACTCCTCTTGTTGATATGGTTTCACAGCACTCTCTGTTCCAGGCTAATGCTTCCTGTCATGACTTCTGGGCATCCTATTTGAAATAGCTGGACCTTCTGACCTGGCAAGCTGCTGAGACCTTTTGGACAGCTGAACTGTAGATAAAAATCTTCCAGGGAAGTAGGTGTGGGCAGGATGTGTGGTTTCCCTGCCTCTCATCTGAAGGCTGATTCAGTTAATTTTTCAAAAGTCATTTCTTACAGTAAAAGTCGCATCCCAGAATGTTTTAAGGGAAATTCAAAAAGACAAGCTAGCTTCTGATTTTCAGTTCAAGTCGAGCACTCTTTATGAATGGCACAGACACACACAGTAGGGAAACTATGTCCCCTACTATAATCTCAAACTAGCCCCTTGGCTATATGACCTTGAGGGCTCAAATTAGCCAGTAACACACAGCGGAGAAGGACTTGTTTACTAAATAATCTAGAACTGAGCAAGAAGATGTGATAACATGTGTCTCAGCCCAGCTCTGAATGTCTGTGCAGAAGCCCAAACCTGGCAAATGTATTTTTAAACTTTTAGTGATATAATACACATAGATTCCTTCTCTGACATTCCAGGCTAGACACTAAGATGAGGCTTTGTAAAATATCAGGGGCATATGTTTCTGGAAAAAATTATGGCAACTTGTGCATAACTCTCTCTGGTCCGAGCACTGTGCCCTGTGGCCTGACAGGAGCCTTTTCATCAGGATTAGCTCCAGGGTGGGGAGGTTGCCCCACAGCACTGATGGGTATTAACTGAACCAAAATGCAGTTCATTTTACCTCTCCAACCATCCACTCCAGGCCACTTAGGAACAAAGTACAGAGTACAGAAAAATTCAAACGTGAATCAAAAGCACATGTTGCTGTTACTATAAAAAAAAATCACTTTCTCTCTAGAAAAACAAATGTTTATTTTGTCTCAGTCCTTCATTGATACCCTACTTCCTGATACTACAGGTCTATAGCTCAGAAGAAACAGAAACAATAACTGAGATTTGAGGATTTAAAAATCAAAGGACAGTGAACCACCACGTGGCTGTTCCATGGCTACCGAGTCCAGATGGCAAGATATCCTTACCATTCTGAGATGTCTTCTGCACTTGGTTTTCTCCAGCCAGAAACCTAAGAAAAGGTCCTGATGACACACTTGTCTCATACAAGGAGTTTTTCTTAAAGAACAAGAAAGCCTAGACTAATCTCAGCATTTTAATTTTGCATCACTTTGGGTAGTCCTATGTATTTTAAATATACTTCAATTTCACCATTTCTTTACTAGATTTATACTTTTAACCAAATTATTTAAGAGTAAAAACACTGGTAAGGGCTGAGGGCATAGCTCAGTGGTAAAGTGCTTGCCTAGCATGCATGAGGCTCTGGTTTCAATCTCTAGCAGGGGAGATATATAAATCTGAGACATATATACAATCTGAGAAATCTATCTATCTATCTATCTATCTATCTATCTATCTATCTATCTATCTCTCTATCTCTCTATCTTAAGTGCAGTTCTCATTTTTTACTTCTTTGGTAAAGGAGCAGAGCTTACAGGGAAGGGACAAGAATTCTTGGTTACTGAGGAGCTTGTTGTGACAGACATGGCACCACAAGGTACATAAAGTCTCAGGTAGGAGCAGCTACACACTCTGGGGTCTAAAGTGTAGGTCCTTTGTTCAAAAGTTACAGAAAACGCTGGGGATGTAGCTCAGTGATGGAGCACTTACTTAATTAACATATGCAAGACTCAGGGTTTAATTCCCAGTACTGCAAAGCAACAATAACAAAGAAAACTAAAATAAATAAATAAATAAAATTACTAAGAAATTCAAGAGAGTGAGAACATAGTATGAATCCAGGAGGAGGGGCCTCCTAATTGTGGAGCCCAATGGGATCACAGGCCACATCCTTGTGAAACTCACCTCATTCTCAAGCCCTGGCTTTGTCACTTACAAGGCATGTGATCTTGGCCAAGTCATCTGTAAAGCATGGATAGCAATAATCCCTACCTCATCAAGTTATTATTAGGATTAAATAAGACAATATTTGAAAAAGAATACCTGGCATACAGCATAAATAATATAAATGTTCAGTAAACATATGTTGTAGCAGGTCTAAGTATCTTAAAATGCCAGACACAATCACAGCCACGACATTGTAAATTTACTAAGACAAATTTTTAATGTTTTAAGAGTTTAGATTCTTGATAATAACAGCTTTATTTCCATGACAGTGGTCACCTTTTATTTTAACAACGTGGAGATTTAAGGAGATACTCCAGATTGAAACCAGTTACTCATAAAGCAAGACTGAAGAATGAAAAGATACTGGTTATGCTCAAGGTTCTGGAAGTAAGTACAGTGCAAACTGTCATGAAGCCAATTTAATATAACCGTTTCCTTTATGCTGAAATAATTCACTGGGGACATCACTGCTTCCATACAGGAAATAAAGCCTGTTGTATCTGAACAAAACTAAGGAATACCTTTCTTTATTTTCGTTTCTTTTTACAATGGAGAATTTTTTTTTTTTTAAGCTGTAGAACAGGAAATGTTACTAATCACACAAACTATATTTCGGGTTAAAAAATACTACTCAAATAGTAAAAAAAAAAAAAAAGCTTTCAGACAGTGATACAGACTTTTATCTAAAAAAGAAATTTGGAGTATAGAGGCATAATTAGTTGATGAGTACTGTGTAGTAATGTTTATCTTATAAGAGAAGCTTCAATTTCTTCACTGAGTTATTTACACTTTTTTTTTTTACTTCTGACCATCAATAATTCTCAGGACTTTCAGAAGCCTTTACAATAAACATATCATAATAAATACTGTCGGCTGCAAAATTCTATAGATGTTAAGTTTTCATTTGTCAAACAATTCGTCCAAGGTACACAGATTTGGGATACTTCTCTTTAAGAGTCGGCCACTGAACAATGAAATAATCCGAGAGATGAATCAGAATCTTTCCAGAGAGGGATAAGGTTTCCACTCGGCAGATGCTTTCAACGTAGACAATGATCACTTTCTTTATTCCTAGTATTCCAAGGAGAAGGGCAGATACACAGATAGGAACACATGTTCCTGGTCCATTACACAACACCTTAAAAAAAAAAGTTGAAGGTCAAATTAATACAGAGGAATAATCTAAATGAGGTATTTTGCATTAGGAATAGTCTGATTGTAGAGTCGATTTCTGAATCTATTCTGTCCTTGTCAAGAACCAGGATGTAAAAAACAGAGCATGTTTAAGCCACTGTACTTGGGAACCATGTGAAGATGTGTGTTGTCTTGGCTCTCCTGCTCACCAGCTCTGTGACTTAGGGCAAATCACATGATGTCTAACTTCTAGCACAGTGAGTGCCTGGTGCTCATTCAGCATTCACTGGATGGGGATGTGCTGCTCTTTTCTGACTGCTCTGTAGATCTTGAATGTCACAAAAATACACAGAAAATATATGATCAACTAAGGTTCATTTAGTTTTCTTTCCTATACCAGCTCGTTCTTGATGTAGGAGAAGATGTCTTTACATGACTACCATATAGGCTGTTTTTATGGAATGTAAAATCATTTTGGGGGTTCAGTACAACAAATGGGATATTCAAGAGAAGGTTAACGTAGGAAATGGATTTCCCTCAAGAGGGCTTAATCTATGCTTGTGATACAAAAGAGTTTTAATTCTGCTAATTTTTATAGAAAGCCACTAGTTAAAAACAATTTAGTTGACTAACCTTACAAGAGAAATAAAACTTAACAGAGCAATTGCAAATAATTTTTATAAATCTTTGAAGAAAATGAGAGGAAGCATATTTCATAGGATTGTTGATAATTTATTACTATTTTCAGAGGAAAAAGCATTTTATATAGTATTGTAATCATAAGCTCATGTTGCCTGAATTAGTAAATCCTAACAAAGCATTTTTTTCCACAAACCACAAAACAGGAGGTCTGTGGTTGTCTGCATATGCCTATGGGGTATGATTTACAATGTCACATGACTTTTCCAGCTCACACTCCACACAACTTATCTGGCATCACAGAATCTTAGAGTGGGAAAAGGTTCTCCTTTAAGGCCATTCCGCCTCCTTATGAATATGGTCAAAGGTACAAAGATTTGATAAGTCATCTATTCTAGGCTTTTCTTTCTGGAGGCATGACCACTTGTATCATCATTCACAGAGCTTTGGGAAGAAAGACTAGCGTCTTTTAGGTGGGATCTATCTTTCTTTTGACTTTCTGAAGCTCTCTACATACAATTTAAACCCCTTTTCTGTCTTTCATGGAGAACTTTCGTTCAGACATTCTCTTGAATTACCAGCCACAGAGCTGCTCTACAGACTGGTTTTTAATCTCCATTAAGTTGTCCCTATAACTCTTCTTAGTAGACAACCAAGACAGTATAAAAGAAAGAACATGGAACCGAGAGTCAGGGGAGCAGAACTGAACAGGCTGCAAACTAGCGCTGTGACTGTGGGCATCAGCAGCAATGACAATCACCACTTGAGTTCTCCCACCCCTAGTTACTACAATTCACTATGGCCAGGTACTGTACTAAATATTTTACATGTTTTATATTTTAATTAATCTTCACATCCATCACTTGAAGCAATTTTCATTATCTCATCTCTCAGATAAGGAAACTGAGGCAGACATTGAGCAAGTTGTTTGATCACATGTTTAGGAGGTAAAGAAGAAATTGCTCAAAGTTGCTTTTTTCCTAATGACTTAAGTTATCCTATCTAAAACATACGGAGATTGGATTAAATGACTTCTGTCAGCTTCAGGAGTCTATGTTTCCATGATTCTAATTTGCCCCTAGCTTTGTCTTATGCCTAAATTACAAACTTGCTCTGAATCCTTCCAGGGCTTATAATTCTAAAAATCCTTTTAATGCAAGGCATTATTGAAATTTTGGACTGAATAATGTTTTTTGCTGTTGTTGTGGTACCTGTCCTATGAATCACATGATGTTTAGTACTCTTGACCTCTGTCCACAAAATCCTAGTAGTTAAAACAATCAAGAATGACTCCAAGCATTGCCAAATGTCTCCACTTCACAACTATGACATTAATGTACTTTCTAATCCTTGGATTATTTGTGTTGTTTGTTCTCAATCCCCCCCCACACACACACACCCATTGGTGCTGGTGAATGAACCCAGGGCCTTCTGCATGCTAGCGAAGTGCTCTACCACTTAGCAACATCACCAGCCCTTAATCTTCTTTTCAATGGTACAGAACAAAAATTGCAGCAAAAAAGAATGTAAGGCCTATTGTGAGATCTCCAATGTCAAACTATTCTCACATTTGTTGCCTTTTACATATCCACATGCATTCATTTCAAAATCTGGCTGACACTTTATACGCAGATTATGCATACACTGATAGAGAAATCTGTATATGATTGGGTACTGGTGAGAGATGAATTAATAACCCACCACTAATAAGATAAGACTGTTCAGCTGAAAGTAGAAATTAGAAGTATTTTGTTTATTATCTCCATATTTTGAGGTATCTTACTACAAAAGTCCCAGGTACAGTAAAATCATAAATCAAGAATTGGAGTTGGGCATGGTGGTGTACACCTGTAATCCCAGCACTCAAGAGGCTGAGGCAGGAGGATCACCACAAGTTCAAGGCCAGCCTGGGCTACATAGTGAGATTCTGTCCAAAAAAAAAAGAATTAGAAAAAGGGCAAGGGAGTGTAGCTCAGTGGCAGATCTCCAACTCTGCAAAAAAAAAAAAAAATTGGTTTTAAACAAAAGCAAATTAATCTCATGGAAAACAACATTTAATTAAGCACAGGTTTTCACTTTGAATTACAATAGCCTAGACAATTATTTTTAAAAATGTGGATTACAGAGTTTTCATTATTTGAAGAAGCATAACAGAGAGACTATTCCAAACATTTAATAACAATGAATCACTGAAACAGCCTGGGTAAAGATGATGTTAAACAATATGGAGCTGTCTTTTTAGTTTTCTAAAAACAGATATATTCTTCATATTTCCATTTCTGAAACTATTAATTCTCAATAAGAATGCAGGACTATCTCCCTGGCCGTCCTTTCTCCCTCACCACTCTGTAAGCTCCTTATAGGTGAGATCCATTTCTAGGACAATCTATATACTCTGCACCCGGAATAAAGTAGGTTGAAAAAGACAAAGGGACGGAAAGAAAGGAGCAAGAGAGTGAGAGAAGTGTGAATCCTTCTTCTACGTGGAGCCAAAAGCTCCCTTTGACAGACTTGGCTGTTGTACTCCATCATCTACACTCATCATAGACACTTACATGGTTGGGTACCACAACGGCTGTAATTACAGCTGCTTCTTCTACTACTTTTTAACCATCCCACATCTGTTCACCTTTTTCTCAGGGGAACCACTATATCCCTTGCTCTCAATTTAATAATCAATTTGATTGGAGCTGACTCCACATCTACTGTAAGGAGAGGACATATGACTCCAGTCTGACCAATCACAGCACCAAATTTCCCGGTGAAAGTCACTCATTCAGGGAAGAGCACACAGCCCAGTCAGAAACCAAAGGACTTTGTGGAACATTTGTTGGCACTGCTGAGAGAGTAGTGCCTTTTCTACTGTTCTGGAACCCAGGAGGATGTGGACCTGGCATAGTTAACATCTCATTTGCCAGATGGCTGTAATTACAGCTTCTTTTTAACCATCTCACATCTGTTCATCTTTTTCTCAGGGGAACCACTATATCCCTTGTTAGAGAGCTAGAGAATGAAGCCAACAAAAAGCACAGCAAAGCTGAGAGACAAAGACAGACCAGATCTTGAAGGTAGCATTTAGGATCCATGAATCCAGCTGTGCCTGAAGGAAACCAGATCTCTCCCTAGACTTGCCAGGTATGTGATGGAATACATTACATTTTTGCTTAAGCCAGTTTGAACCAGGATTTCTATCCCTGGGGATAAAAAGCATACTAAGTGATATGGTCTTTTATTTTGTCTAACTCTCTGACTGGTCTCTGGTCATCTGCAGCACCAACCAGTGTATATTCAATATGTATCTGCTAGATGAATCTTGCAATCAATAAATAAACTTCTCTAAAAGCAGGAAGTTCAAGAGACATACTAAAGATAATGTAAGTTGCAGATCTAAAAAAAATGAAAAAGGGCTATATAAGTCACGAGCAGAGATGAGCTAGATCAAGAATCAAGAACAGTTACACTAGGATTGTTGTTCTGTAGATCTGGGTCACCACAGGTCAAGTCCTGTGACTGAAACATAACATCTGCATATATATAAAAAGACATACTTAAGTTGAATAGTCTGAATTCAACTTCTAACCCAGGAGGAATCACACACACAGAGTTTGGGCAAGATGTCTGGCGTTTGCGGTTGGTTGTTGGTCAGAGATTACGTAGTTGAGGGTGGTCCAAGGGTGCTTATGAAGGTGAGACTGGAGGCCATGGATGATCCAGTGAGGCTTCAATATTAGGAGACTGACAGAGAAGCAGAGTCCAACTCTGTGGCACTGGCCTGAATGCCAATGTCTTACAGCTTCTAGCTGGTGGATTTGGAGGCTGGAAAGAGTTACGAACTATGGGAACAGAGCTTCAGGGAAGGTTTTATTGGTGTCCTAGAGCCATGAAGAAGCCAGAGAACTAAAGCCCACACTTAAAACTGAGGCAAGTAGGCAGGTAGTCCACATGGAGGTCACAGGTCCTGTTAAATCCAATTCTTTGGTTTATAGGCTAACATCCCCATATGGAAAGGTAATATGGTGGAGATGAGGAAGTGTGTAAATAACGGCACAGAGAAACAGGAGATATAGAAGAAGAAAAGCTTGGTTGTAGCACTTAACAGGAAGCAAGGTGGGGTAAAATATTTAAAGAATGGTTAGAGAAATAAGAGGAAAACCACAAAGCCATTTGCCTATCCTCAAGAAGGTGTCAAAGATGAAATGATTAATGATTTTTTTTTCCAACCAGAAAAGCAACAAAGAAGAAATCGTTATTATTTGGCCAAAGAACAGTAATGGAAACCTCAAGAAGTCCTTGGGTTAAAATAAGAAGTACAAACAGCAAATAAGTATTTGAAAAAATGTTCAACATCACTGGTCATCCAAGAGATGCAAATTAAAACAATGCTGAGATTCCATCTCATTTCAGAAAGAATGGCTGCTATCAAGAAATCAACCAAGAACAAATGCTGGCAGGATGTGGGGAAAAAGGAACCCTTTGCAGACTGGTGCAACCACTGTGGAAATCAGTGTGGAGATTCCTCAAAAAATTAGGATTAGAGGACCCATTTGACCCAGCTATTCCTCTTCTGGGTATCTTCCCCAAAGAATTAAAAGAATCATACCACAGTGATATATGGACACTCATGTTTATAGTGACACAGTTTGCAATAGCTGAATCTTGGAAATAACCCAAATGCCCATCAATTAATGAATAGTTAAAGAAGATGTGGCTTTTCTATACAGTGGAGTACTACTCTGCCATAAAGAAGGATAAACTTGACACATTTATAGCTAAATGGAGGCACCTTGAAACTATCTTCTTCTTTTTTTTGGTACTGGGGATCAAACTCAGGACCTTGCGCTTGTGGGGCAGGTGCAGTGGTGCTACTGAGCTAAATCCCTGCCCCCTTGAAGCTATACTCTTAAGTGAAATAAACTGGACACACATGTAAATATCACATTGTTTCTCTGGTGTAAGAAACTGAAAATGTAAATAGGGACCAAAATGTATAACAGACAATGTGAAACAAAAAAATCATTCAATGGGAAGGGGGAACTAAAGGGGGGGGGCAAAGAAAAAATGAGAAAAGAAAGAGAATATGAAACAAGGCTTTAGTAAATAAGGAAGGAGAAGGGAGTTAAGGGAGGGGAGGGGAATAGGAAAAAAAAAACAGGAATCAAGATACTTCATGTCAAGGTACAAATTCCCTATGATGAATGTGATCATTATGTAAATCTAAACTGTACCAATAAAATTAAAAATAAAAAAAAAATGGGACAGGAAAAGAGGGCACATGGTGTGGGAGAGAGAGGCTCAGGTAGTAGCTGGACAAGCCAAGCAAGGCTGGGAAAGTGTTTAGAGAAAGGATAAATGATCCACACAGGAACATAAAGATCAGTGTGAAAGAAGCAGTAGTAAGGGAAGAACTGATCCTATAGAAAAGGGTGTGTTCTTTTAACACTCAGAGAAACAAATTCAGAGTATTTGGTTTATGAGCTTGGTTTAGGAAAAAACTGACTTTCTGATGTGATAAAGGACAAAAATGGTGGACAGGAAGTATGCCATCAATGGGTTTTCTTTTAAATACAAATAACTTTTCATTGCTATGTGGAAAATAAATGGGAAGCTCAAAGAAGTAATCCTTATGTAACCAATCTGTTAACATTTTGGTTTATTCCCTTGTAATTTAATCTTCATATATAGATTCTATTATAAATTTATATATGTACACATACATTAATGTGAGATCTTATTTACGAACACTGTAAAGTTCTTTTCAGTTATATTTTTGTTTGCTTTTAAAATACTTTTAGGGCTGTGAATGTGACTCAGTGGTAGAGTGCTTGCCCAGTAAAACACAACAAAGACCAAAACAAAACTTTTCAAAATCCTTGATTTTTAATGACTACCTATATTTAGTTCTATATATATCTCATAATTTAACCATTCCCCTATTCATGCAAATGGCTATTTCTAGAAATTGTTGAAAATTTAGACTGGCTCCTTTTTTTTCCTTTGCTATTCTAGATCGTGCTGTTATGAACATCTCTGTGTATAAATCTGTGACCCTTAAAGTTTCTTTTTTGCACTGAACTATGTTTCAGAGTTCTTGGTGAGTCAGAGGTAAGCAAAAATAGATTCAACGATTTAAGGAAACAGTAAGAAGTTTAATAAAACAATTGTTATGGATAAGGCATGGGCAGTGTGGTCTTTTTAAAAAATTTTGTTTTCTTTTTTCCTGGTATCTGAGTGATTTTCCATCGTATAGTTCTAGTGGCAGGCAAATACCATCTCTCACAGCAGAGTGAGATACTTTTCTTGGCTCTTTTGCAGCTAGTGGCTGGGTCAGTGACTTGGCCAGATATTTCTGCCAAAATCTGACCAGGAGCTAGTGGTGCAGAGGAGCAGGGCTGGAGCAGAAGCTGTTCTGGTAGCAAGGGGGCCACTGGCAGAGTCCAGCATTCAGCACCTATGGTGCTAGCTGCAGTGGGCTCTGCCCAGCAGTGGTGGCAGCAGGTGTCCCCTGAACTCAGTTCCTTGGCCCATGGAAATCTGGACATGGTTCTAACTGCTCAGGTCCCACTTTGTACCTCTTGTTTTGTAAGGCTAGTTCATTAGCATTCCTGGTAATTCTCAGAGTTCTCTATAGCCTTTTGCTAAATTATTTTATGTTCCATGCAGCCAGAAGAGAAGATAGCTTGCTACCAAGAACCCTAACAAGTATGGAGAAAATAAAAAATTGTAAGAGCAGCAAATGCAGAGCCTAGAGAAGGAATGAATCACACTAGAATGGTCATAGGACTTCCTCAGGCTGCACTAAAAGCTCTGGCCCGTGAACATGTGGAGAAAATGATATAGCAAAAAGAGACTGGGTGAGTGTCCCAGGGTATGAAAAATACAAGCAAAAGGCTGCATCTGAGGGCAAGAGCTATGGGATAAAAGCCTCAGAAAGTGGACAGAGAAGCATCTGAGAGTAATCAAAGGAGTAAGAAGAAAATGCAGTTGGCAGGCAGGTGCTCTCTACCACATAGCAGACTGGAAGGCTGGAGTGAAGCCTGAGGAAAGGCAGTGCTGAATGCCAGTGATCAGTGAGGTGGACAGCAGGAAGGAAAGGATGTGTAGCACCCTGGGTGACGTACGTGCTTGGCTCACATTAGGGTACACTGCACTTCTTTTCTATGTATATTTAATGATTTGAGTAGTAGCAGTTAAAATGAAACACATATATCAAGACCAACATGAAATAACCAAAAAATTCTAAACACTTAAATCACCAACCATAAATGAACCTCACGGTCTCTTACAATTTTATTGCCAATAGTACTTTCAGAGTTGTCATCATTGTGTATTCAGCAGTTTGAGGTCTTTTCCACTTATATAACAACTGCTATTCTGTGCTTCTGCAGAAGTATTAGATGTTCCACTGCATGAAAATGTCAGTCTAGCTAACCACCTTCCCCCTAGAACTCATTTTGAAAATTTTTTTACCATATTGTCTTTTAAAACGGTATGAAGCTGACTGCAAGAAAGGGAACTGGTGATTTTAAGTTAAACTTAAGCTAACGGTGAAAGTATATCACAGTCACTTTTCAGTTTCTCTTTACCCAGGCATGGCTTACATCTTTTAAAAATTTAAACCATTATCAAAAAGTTTTAAGTTTTCTTGTTGAGTCAGAGTCTTGCTATGCAGTTGAGGCAGCCTCAAACTTATCCTTCTGCTTCAGTTTCCAGAGTGCTGAGATTGCAGGCATGTGACAGTACACCTGGTTAGTGAGTTATAAATTGTTTTCATTTAAGCAAAGGGGCTAATGTTTTAAGGACACTAATTTTATTGCTGGTTCCCCAAACATCAATTACTTGAATTTTGCTTGGTAACTACAACAACAAAAAACCAAAATCCAAAAAAATCCCAAAACAAAACAAAACAAAAAATTGTTCACAATCTAATCAAATAAATAACTAGAAAGAATGGTTAACTTTGGGGCTATAGAATCTTGTCCGACAGCTAAGTTCCCTAAACTGGCATTCTATCATCAATTTCTTCTGTTCACTCAGAACACTTCTGCTCACTGTATATTTAAATAATAAATCAAGAAGCTGAATTAGCCATGAAAGGATGAATATGGATGCAGCAACATGGAAAGAACTGGAGGACATTAAGAAAAATAAGCCATGGCCGAATCAGCTTGCTGCAGACAGGCAGGTCGGCGCACACCCTACCGAGGTCCCGAGTCACACGGAACATGCCGAATCAGCCCGCGCCCCGGCAACAATCCACTGGACCCACTACCCCCGGCTCCTCTATACAGACACCTGGTGCCACACTACGAAGATGCAGAGGACACCAGACCACCAGACCACGGTACTGAGTCCGGTTGCTCCCGGCCCAGACATAGGGGTTTCTGAGCCGCTGTCCCACTGCTCCTGGTCCACAGGAAGGGGCTTCCCGGCCACCATCCCTCCCGCTGCTCCCAGCCCAGAGGAAAGGGCTTTTGGGCCACCTTCTGTCCCGCTCCTCCTGGCCCAGAGGAAGGGGC